GGGTAGCCAATGTCCAAGTTGCCCATCCCTGTCTACTCTGTGTATGGAGGGGGGGGGAATGATACTTGCTGTAAAGATTTGTTCCCTCTTTTGAGCTATTGCATCCATAGGTGTAGGTCAAGTTCAAACTATATCAAATTACTTTTTTTCCCCACTTCTTTCTTCTAGTTGAGCTCTGATAATCCAGTCATTGAAGCCAGGTCGAGTGGGTATTATCTGCAAGTGTGGGTGTTCTTGTGCATATGCCCTCTCTTTTTATCAGCTGGACGTTCTACTCTAGTCCTCTGTGGCTGTGTCACTGACTCTGGGCCCAAGAGTCCCCAGGTCTTGCCACACTGCTGGCCAACCAGGTCTCCACCCAGGTTCACAGGAGTCTATTGAACGTTGTAGGGCTTACATCGCAGCTTCATTGCTGTTTTTCTCTCACTTTCCCTTATCAGTGACAAACGTGGTCACCAATCAGAGCTTGTATTCCCACTGAGTCTTAGTCTTGGAAGGGGGTTTGCTCTGAGGGGACCCAACCAGTTGCCTTGATGTCTCCTGGGCGAGCAACTTGATTGTTCTTGTAGTAATCAGTCGGTCTGCCTATATTGTTTTGTGTTTTTCCTGTCAGTCTTTCTTTCAAGAAGTATCTTCTGTTCTTCTAGCCACTCAAGGCTGGTCTGCCCATCATTTCAAGTGGAAATTTCCCACCTCGGAAGATTTTGGATGCTGTTCAGGATTCCCCATGGTCTTATGTAATGCAGAGGCTTCAGGAAGCCTCGTTCACTGGGCACGGTTGTAGCCTCATTTTAGATATTCCAATCAGTTATAGGCAGAAGATAGACTTAGAGCTTTCTATGGTGCTATTTCTGGCTATTCCTTTCTCTCCCTGTCCAGTGTCTATTTTATAATGGTATGCAAGGGAAACCAAGATTCAAAAGACAGCCAAGCATCTTAACATTATTTCCCCCCGTTTCCCCATTTCAACCATGTCTCCATCCCTGTATCCCAGAGCCCTGTTGTTCCAAGGTTGTGCATACATCCCACTTAGCCCATGCAAACCTGCCTAATTGTTCTCCCATCCCCCTACCCCCTCTTGTATAGCGCTCCCATCCCCAGCACCCAAACTATCTGTGTGTATTCCCTACCCTGTGCCCCACCTTCCCCTCTCTCCCCTCACCCCATCCCTCACATCCCAGCCACCAGCAAAGAATCCCCCTGCCACCCCATTTAGTATGGGTTCTTTTTCTTAGTCGTTTACAGTAGTGGTCCTATGCAGTATTTCTTCTTTTGTGACTGACTAATTTCACTCAACATAATGTCCTCAAAGTTATGTGGTGGCTTGCAGCTTCCTTGCTATTTTTCAAGGTAGCATAATATTCTATTCTGTGTATATACCACAGTTTGTTTATCCATTCTTCAGTTGATGGCACTTTGGCTCATTACTTACTTCTGTTCAATTGGTTCCAGGAGGTCCAAAGCTGGTCTGATTTCTTTCTCAGGTTCCTTGGTTTCCACAGTTGTGCTAACAATGGCAATATACTTCCCTTGAGCTGCCACGTTGTGTGCAAAAGAAATCATGCAAACATAGATATCTAGAAACAAATGAAATCATATCATTTACTAAAGTTTGTAAAACGTGAACATTACCCATAGTTCACCCCGGTGTCAGTTAAAATGATCTGAAATAGGCAAAATCTTCCAGGCTTAAATTCTATATGGAAGTAAAAAAGATATGAAAATGAAACAAATACGAGGGTGAATTATAAATTATCTGCACTCTGGCTCTAGAATTTACTTTAATCAAGTTTTAGAAAAGACAAATATCATTTTTCAACATAATCTCCTTGTTTTTCAATACACTTTGTCCATCTGTCAGGCTTTCATTTTCCTTTATTGAAAAATGTTTTAGGTTGAGCTGAGACACAAATGTACTGCTGTCTTCACGTCTTCATCAGACGTGAATTTGCTCCTTAGAGGGCTACTTTCAGGGACCAAACAGGTGAAAGTGTGATGAAGCAAGATCAGGACTATAGGGAGGATGCTTTAACACCTCAAAACGAAGTTTGTGCAGATTGTCAACATTGTGGGCTGCGTGTGTAGACATGATTATCATGTAAGATCACAACGCCCTTAGATAGCAGTCCTGTGTTGAATCTGAAGTTTAGGCTTCAGATCTTCAGTGAGCATCTCACTATAACAAGCACTGTTGATTACTGAGCCCTTTTCTTGATAGTGTTCCAATATTGTCCCTTGAGAATTCCAAAAAAACTGTAAGCATCAATTTTCTAGCAGATGGCTGACTTTTTAATGTTTTCTTCATTGGGGATTGAGGATTGAGGATGTTTCCATTCCATATTCTACTGTTTAGTCTCAGGCTAGTCGTGATGAATTCATGTCTTGTCAACAGTCACATTTTATATATAGAAACTTTTATCTTCCTTCAAGTATCGATCCAAATTTTGTTTGCAGATTTCCAAATGCTTTTGCTTATACTCTTACGTGAGTAGTTTCAGTACCCAACTTACACCCACTTCAAAACCAAAGTCTCCTCATGGATAATTATATAGGGAGAGCCTTGGCTGATTTGCAAATGAGTTGCTACTTAAGTCACTGTCACTCTTCTATTCGACAGAATCATTTCACATGAAAGCTCAATGTTGTCATCAGCCATGGATGGGCGGTTTTAATATAACTGGAGGGCAGATAATTTTTGACTCACCTTCGTATTTAATAATTAGAATTGTTAAGGATTTAGGAGGCACTGAATTATTGGATTCTTCCTAGCTTTATCAGACCAAGCTGTGAAAAGCCTAGCCAACACATTAACTTAACTTTCTGGACTTTACAATTAAAAAGTATGTGTTGGATAACTAAGAGAGGCTTTATTAATGACTGATTTTCCCAATTATTAAATTGTAAAACTGAATAAACTGCTAAAATTCTAGAGAATCTACTTGGTCTGTACACCAACTCTGTAAAATAACTAAAAATTTCAATATTCTTATACTTTCACAGGCTGAGGGAACTTTACAGGAACTACTGGAAGACTTATAGTCCACATCCCTTTGTTCTACTGATAATTTGATTTGATGCCTTATATGGAAAAAGAAGCCTAGTAGAGATAACTTATAACACACTTAAAAGTCAACAGCCCTTTCAACTCAGATAAATAAAAGATGTAACTGTAAGATGATTTAAAAAGTATTACATTCATAAATAATGACAAAAAAGCATCTAAGGTCATCAGTTCAGTGGAGTCAATTCAATTACTAAGCAGGAGACCTAGCCTCTTAACTACCGATGAGGTAATGAATTAAAGCAGAGCTGAGAGCTGCTGAGATCAGAGCCAAAGTTCCTGTTTCAACACAATGCTTCAAGATAATTATGAACTCAAAGGAATCATATTCTGTTTCCTATACATAAACAACAGTGTCTTCACTATAATGTAGCATATACTATTAGGACATGGGAATGAAATATAAAGCAAATTATTCTACCAAAATTCTACAAATATTTGCGGGTCCTCAAAACTCACCTGATTTGCGGTTGACTTGGTTCTGTGGAATAATGATCTGACATGAGTTGGCATCATTGGTGTTCTTGATTGGGTGGCTTAGAATACATATAACTCTGATCACCTGGCCCACCTTCTGCACCCTATCTTTTACATAGCTGGGATCACAGATGAGTTGCTTACAGCGAGCAATCTGTAAAAAACATTGAAAAAAACTTTATAATTGATTCAGTGCCCACAATATTTTTAAGTAGTGTATTGATGACATTTTCCTTTGAAAATAATTGGCTATCTTCATAACCTAACAAACGTAACAACTAGATCATTATTAAACAAGATTTTAGATGACTCAAAACTAGCTTTGCTATTAGTTCCTACACATTCTCCTTGAAACATACACAAACTCTAAATCTTAATTTAAAAAATAGGAAAATTATGTTGCATAATGTTCAGAAGCACACATTTCACAACTGGGAAAACTAGGTTTCAAATTCTGGTTCTACCTAACTCAAAGTGTTTATTGTTAGGATCCAATGAAATCATGCGGAGCTTGACCATCCTGTGAACAGCTTTGGCACCTGAGGGAGGCCTGGCAGAGCACATTTGCTTGGGCAATGGAAAAAGTGCAATTCCAGAACAGAGACAAGTACAGAGAAAATTGACAAAGATATGTTGGAAGAAAACTTGCCTAACATCACAAAAACCAAGAAGTTAAGCAAACAAGAAGCTGAAGGAACCCCAAACACAACAGATCCCAAAAGAAAATCACCAAGACATATCATAATCAAACTTTCTAAAACCAAAGACAAGGAAAGAATCTTGAGAACAGCTTGAGAAAATTGAAAAGTTACCTACAAAGGAGAACCAATAACAGTAAGCTCTGATATTTTTCAGTAGAAACCAGGCTGACACAAAAAGGCAATGGAATGACATATACAAAATGACATATACAAAACTCTTGAAAGAAAAAAATTCCCAGCAAAACTGTCTCTGAAATACAATGGTAAAATTAAGTCATTTCCTGATAAACAGAAATTAAAGGAGTTTGTAATGACAAGACCAACTTTACAAAAAATACGAAAGGGTATTTGGACTGAGAACCAACACAGCAGACAACAACCTGAAGTTACCATACATGACAACATCACCCAGGACTCAATCCAGATACTCAAGTATTTAAAGTAAAACAAATCTACAAGATTGAAAAGAGAGAACTAGAGATATCAATGTATAATGAAGTCAAATACAAAGCAAAACGAGGAAACAGTGTAGATACAGAATTTCCAAATGTCAAAGAATTAGATTTTAAGATAAAACGGTGTTTTAATAAGCAGGGAAAAAATAAATTACAGGGTAACCTCAAGGAAAAACAATAACTTGTATATTAAAATTTTTTTAAAGAAGTTCAGAAAGAATTAATAAACATTTAAAAAATGGAAATGAAAATGAAAACCAACAAACAAAATGAAACTCAGTGTAGAAAATTATGTGGAACAAAAAATCCAGCAGCAACACACACGCACACACAGAAAAACCCCACAAAAAATGACAACAATCAATTCATACCTATTGATAATTACAGTGAATGTAAATGAGGTAAATGTACCCAGTTAAGAGACACAAAGAGCAGAATGGATAAGAAAACAAGATCCTTGAATATGCTGTCTACGAAAGACCTACCATGTAAAAAGATGGAGACTACCTAAATGCCCATCAACAGCAGTAGCAACTGTAGCAGGAGTAGAGACTAGGCATTGCAAAACTGGAATTAAAGGTGTCCCTATTGCACTTCAAAATTATGTTTTTTAACGGCCTTCAGACAACAGCCATTAGGTAAGGAAGAAGGAACTGGGCAGAGCACCAGAGAGCAACTAGGAAAGACATTCTCTGTGTAAAGGTTTCCTGGAGTGCAGTTATCCAGGTTCCTTCTGCCTTTGGGTGTTAGGTCATGTGCTGAGGGCAGTTAGCTTGGTGTTTTTTTGACTGTAGATTACTGGACCACATAGGGCCCCATTTAATTCTGATGGAAAAAGTTGCAGTTTACCCAGAGATTTGAGATTGAAATCAGTAACTGGATGAGACTTGGAGTTGTCTCTCTAAGGGGAGGCGTGGGGTGGATTGTGTGCTTTTAAGTGTATGTATAAGGAGCTCTGGTAACGTAGTGGTTACGAATCGGGCTGCTAATCTCAAGGTCAGCACTTCGAAACTACCAGCTATTTCACAGGAGAAGGATGAGGATTTCTGCTCCCGTAATGATTTACAGCCTCGGAAACCCTGTACAGGGTCGCTATGAGTCAGAACCGACTCCACAGCACCAAACCACCACACACAATGGAATGCTACAAAATGGTGAATAATAATGATGAATCTGGGAAACACCTCACAATATTGTTGTGAAAGTTAAAGAGCAAATTAGTTCTCCATTCAACACATTTTGTTTCGTGGCCTATGTTGCAATCCACTTGATGTAACACCACTCTTAGCACTTCCTCCCTGGGTCCCTCATTTCCACCTGTCTTTCTTTCCTGCCCCATCCTGTCTACTGCAGTTTTTCTCCTTTTGCTGAAATGCTGCCCTTTTGGTCATGTATGGTCGATTGTAGTTAATAGTATATTAATCTACAGTTATGCTTAGCTTTTATTAATTAGCTCCAAACAACTTTGTAACCCTCCTTTCATTTCATCTTGACTGTCATAATGTGACTGACCATGTACTTTAAATGAATTAGAAACTACAAAAGAAGTAAGTCCATTTTGCCTGCTATGTTCACTGGAAGCTTGAAGTAATGCCTATGGAACCCTCCAGAGAGCAGGAACAGCAGTCGTCACCATTCACCATTTGGGTCCCAAACGAGTTCTACTCCCCCAGCCCCTTTAAAAGTACTTTAAGAAATTATAAAGGGATAATGAAAAACTGTATTAAAATTATAATGAAACTTATTTGTACAAAAGTAAAATCTGAATTGTGAAAAGATGAAAGAATCATAATAGATGAAAGAATATTGACATATGTTCTATTTGCAAAGCATGGTGCTATGAGGTCTTTCCTATTAAATGACAAACTGCTTTTAAGTTTGAGAAAATTATCTGGGATATTGTCATCTAAAGACTCATGAAGAGTATGAGATTTCACTATTTGATGTATTTCACCATTAACGTTGGGGTCTAGAGAGCTGTTGTCAATTCATATTCATTTTACAATTAATGTATTAAGTGTGAAACATTTTCCTGTTAATTTACTCTCTTTGTGCATATAAGGAGCCCTGGAAGTTTTGTAGGGTAAGTACTGGACAGCCACTCCACATAACAAAGATGAGGTTATCTGCTCCCGGAAAACTTTACAGCCTCATAAACATCAACAGGGAGGGAAAGAGTCTTCACACATCAATGCTATCCCATCTGTACACAGGGTAGATAGAGACGGGCAACTTAGACATTGGCTATCTAAAATAAGGGGGCAATAAAAGCATGAAGAGACTGGCTTACAAGGTTTCAAGAGGGAGTTTAGTTTAAGAGTATGGGGGGAAAGAAAGAGTCCCCACTGAATAGCTGTCATCTTGTCTAGATGGGTCTAGTGAAGAGAGATGGGGATAAGATTCATAAGATTCAATAGTGAATAATTGTTATGACTAATTGCGACAGTCACAATTGTAAAGGTAGAAGTTTTGTAACCAAAAAAGGGGAGTGGTTAATCTTACAGTCCAGAAACAGAGGACCCTAGGATCATCAAGAGAGAAACGCACAAGCAGAATGTGGGACCTTATCCAGAGAAGCAGCAGAGCCAGAGATGGGGGCATGGAGAGGGGGAGTGGCTGAGGACTCTAGATTCATGGACAAAGAAGAGAGGGACTACGAGCTGGTGGCCAGGAGGCAGACTTTCAGAATGTGCCCTTTGGAGACATAAATTATTATATATGCCTGAGTGGTTTGTTTGTTTGTTTGTTTGTTTTAAAAAGCTAAAGTGGATAGAGAGAAATACTATTAAATGATGGTAGGTACATGGAAGGGATTTTAATCATTGTAATGAAACAAGGTGTATGATTTGTTGAATGTAAAACTGATGATATGCCCTGTAAACTTTCACTCGATCCATAATAAAAACCTTAAATAAAATAATAATAATAAATTTTACAGCCTCAGAAACTATATAGGGTTGCTATGAGTCAGAATCAACTTAGTGGCAGGGAGTTTGCTTTTGATTTTTTTGCCTATATGGGCAGAAAATGAAAAACACTGAATTCTCAGTTGTATTTATTAAAGCTAAAAGTAGACTACAAAAATGATATCTCTAATCTTTTATGTGCTCTTATAAAGAAGATAGAGTACTTTGGGCAAAGCATTAAGAAAAATGACATTTTTTTCCTTATTGTTGATTTGGCCATTCTGTTTTATTATTACTTAATTCCTAGTATGATTTTGGTGTGGCACTGTAGGATAACCACTGGAGACTACTAACCACAGATCAAACCCACCACCTGCTCCTTTGTAATTATTATTATAATTACAATAAACCATAAATGGCTCAGATAAAGCTAATTAAAATGGGTATTTTGAGAGGCAGCCACTCCCACTAAATATAGTGCTCTTCCATAATCAGCTATCAATACAACAGCAAGCATTAAGGTCTGTGGATTTAAAAAAATAAAGCATAGCACCTGTAACTTGTCATTATGAATACTGACTTACCATAAAGAATCATATAAATTCTGGAATCTAGCACCACTGTCTGTACCAAAATAAGTACTTATTAGATAATATGATTTTCTTTGTGAGAACACAATTATTTCTTAAATTATAAAAACTACTCACCTCTCCTTCAGATTTAACACCAACCACTTTTCCATTTTGCACAATGATTTCTTCAATTGGTTTATTAAGCATGTAGGTACCTCCATAAATAGCACTTAACCTGGAAATCATTAAGATTCTAATTAGTCTCCTTCCTTAGAACTTACTGAGTTCACACAGATACACAGAATGGAGGAGACTTTCATTAAGACAAAAAACAACTTTCAGAAAACTAGTTTAAAAAAGCACCTATGAAAAGCCTACAAAACTATATTTAATAGTAAAATATTGCATAAATGCCCCCTAAGACTGGGAGTCCTAGTGTAGTGCTGTAGGATAATGCATGGACTGCAAGATCAGTTTGAACCACAAGGTCAGTGGTTCAAATTAACCAGCTACTTCTTGGGAATCCTATACTGTTGAGCTGGAACTGACTCGAAAGCATGTAAACAACAATAACAAGACTGGGAACAATGCAAGAACATCCATTCTTAGAATCTCTACTGAATTTGCAGTGTTATAATAAATGCAAAGGGGGAGGGGGACTGTGTGAGGGTGAGTTTTGTGTTTCAATTTGGCTGTATCTCAGATGCAGAACCAAATACTAGACTAGCTTCTGTCATGGAATAGTTATTGGTGAATAAATCAGCTGAGCTGGAGTAGAGCACATAACCTTTCATAATGTAGTCTAATGAAGTGTAATTATTTTATATGCCGCTGTTAGTTGCTGCCCAGTACGTTGATTCATGGTGACTTCGTGTGTACAAAGTAGAACTGCTCCATAGGATTTCCAAGACTATAACCTATTAGAAGAGTCCTGGTGTGGCACTGTGGGCTGCTAATGCACCACACTGCAAAGTCATTTGAACTACAAAGTCGGTGGTTCAAGTTTACCAGCTGCTCCTTGGAAACCCTACACAGGTTCTTTATGGGTCAGGATCGACTCAACGGCACTTAACAACAACAATCTATTAGTAGCAGATGAGTAGGCCTGTCTTCCAAGATGCCTCTGGGTGGGTCTGAATTGGCAGCCTCAACCATGTGTACCACCCAGGGAGACACATTTTATATTATACAATATAATGACCTTTCATAACCCAATCTAATGTAATACATAATCACCAAGTTGAGATTGTACCTGTATAGGGCAGATCCTAAACCTAATCATTTCCGAGTTGTAAAACGTTCATAATACTACTTGACAAAACACTTTCTATAAGAATACATCAAAAACTAAAATCAAAATGAAAAAATGTTTAGGTGTGCTAAAGACATGAATCCACTGCTTGTCTGTCAGTTTGCTGTACTGTGGACAAGTTTCAGATGAGCTTCCAGACGAAGACAGAGTAGGAAGAAGGAGTAACGAACTACTTCCAAATATTTAGTCACTGAAAACCTTATGAATAGCAGAGAAACACTATCAGACATAGTGCCGGAAATTGAACCCCTCAGGTTGGACAGTACTCAAAATGCGACTGGAGAAGAGCTGCCTCCTTAAAGTAGAGTTGACCGTGATGACATGAATGGAGTAAAGCCCGTTGGCGTAAAGTCCACGAGACCTTCATTTGCTGATGGGGCACAACTCAAAATGAAGAGAAACAGCTGTAAACATCCATTAATAATCAAACATGGGATGTACAAAGTATAAATCTAGGAAAACTGGAAATTGTCAAAAATGAATGGAACGCATAAATATTGATATCTTAGGCATCAGTGAGGTGAAATAGACTGGAACTGGCCATTCTGAATCTGACAACCACATGGTTTACTATGCCGGGAATGCCAAAGAGGAATGGTGTTGCATTCACTGTCAAATAGAACATGAGGTATAATGCTGTCTGTGATAGGATAATATCCATGCGCCTATAGGGAAGACCAGTTAGTAACACTATTATTCAAATTTATGCACCAACCACTAAAACCAGTGAGGATGAAACAGAAGAATTCTACCAACTTCTCCAATCAGAAATTGATCATACATGAAATCAAGATGTATTAATCATTACTGTTGATTGGAATGCAAAGGTTGGGAACAAAGACCAAGGATCAGTAGTTGGAAAATATGGCCTTGGTGATAAAAATGATGCTGGAGATTGCATGACAGAATTCTGCAAAACCAATCATTTGTTCAATTCAAACACCTTGTTTAGACAGCATAAGCGATGATTATACACATGGACCTCACCAGACAGAATACACAGAAACCAAATTGACTACATCTGTGGAAAGAGAGAGTGGAAAAGCTCCATATCATCAGCCAAAACAAGACCAGAGGCAAACTGTGGAACAGACCATCAACTGCTCTCATATGCAAATTCAGACTGAAGCTGAAGACAATGAAAACAAGTCCACGAGAGCCAAAATATGACCCTGAATATATCCCACCTGAATCTAGAGATCATTTGAAGAACAAATTAGATACATTAAACACTACAGACCAAAAACCAGAAGAGTTGTAGGATGACATCAAGAACATTATAACAAGGAACAAACAAGATGGCGGATCAGGTAGAAGTGTAGTAAGGAGCTCCGCCAGCAACAACAGAATACCCAACCAAGCAGGCTCAGGGGATGGTCCCAGAACTCTGAACCAGATATAAAGGAATATTTACAAGGTTAGAAAGCTTACAGCTGGGGGAATTTGTGGCAGAAGCAAGAAATCCATTGCTTTCTAGTTCGGAATGTTCAGCTGCTCCAGGAGCCGCTACAGACGCCTGGAAGAACCACTGAGATAAAGGTGTGGACATTCTTTTCTTTGGTATCTGTTCATTGGTCCCTTGCTGTCTGAGCACCTCCATTCTGGTGACTATAGGGGTGCCTGAGCTAGTGGACACCCCAGCCCCACCCTCGGAGGGTTCTACTAC